CCTCCCCCCTCTCATGTGCTCTCTCTCATTCTCTCTCTCTCAAATAAATAAAATCTTTAAAAAAAAAATAAATAAAAATAAAAAGCATGTTTAGAAACACCAGACTCACACACAGCGGGTGGAATGCTTATTCTATGTGCGGGAACCGAGACCAACAGAAGAAAACAGACCACATCTAAGTCTCCTAAACATAATTTCACTGAATGGCAGATTGAATGCCTTACATCTCTCTCCCTCCCTTCTTCTCCCATGCCTGCTTTCCTCTGTTACGTTTAGATTATTTCTATGTACGGTATACATTCTCTGATGGCCTTCTTATCATGTCCAGATGTGTGGTTGTAAAAAACACAAAAGAATCAGCTGAATAGTTTCTTTAGGAGAAGATCTCAAGACCGCCCCCCCCCACCCCGACCCACTGATAACTGAAAAAAGGGGAGGTGCACTGCCCGGCTTTTGGTGACTCCCTCCTCCCCCATTATTGCCTTGTAATAGCACCATTTAGAAACTACCAGAACAGCCCATAAGCTCCTGGAGGGCTGAGACCTTGACTGGGCCTTCCTTTGATGCTCAGGATATACAGGAGGGTTCCTTGATGTTCTCCGAGGGGTGAGGACTTTTAGGAAAAGATGGAAAGACCAATTCCCCAAGCAGGCTCTGGGCTTATATTACAGGCCTCTTCCCTACTGGTGGGCTCAGCTGGAACAGTGTTTCCTTCTTAAGGAAGGGACACAGCCAAGAAAACCCACACTTAATGCAAGCAAGCCACTATGGGGATGAGCTCAGTGCAGCCTGGGGTCTGTGGGAATGAATCTCCCTACATTGGTGCGCACGGCCCCCCCATGGGGCTGGTCCTCAGCAGCTGGGACCAGATGCCGGGGCAGAACCAATGGATGGCAGAGGATTGACAAGTAGACCTGCCTGGCTACAGGGCCCCAGCTGTTTCCTTCCAGGGGCAACTTGCTAGCATGGAAGCCACCAGCCCACACCGGTGCCTCCCTGCCTTGGCCTCCTCCCCGGGGCTTTGTTCTTTGTTCGGGGCAAGAGGAATCCAAGGTGTGGCTTGGCTTGGTGGAACCTGAAGGAGCTGTGCCCACAGCGGCAGGAAGAGACAATGACTTTGAAGCCCAGGAAAATTCTAAGGCAGCTCCAGGCCACACAACAGGAGCTGGTACAAGCAGGTCACCGTTGGCACTGGGATTTCCCGAGTCCTGGGAATGGGACACACCCCTTCCTGCCCCCCTCCACGGGCTGATACTGAACTGTGGGTTGAACGTGATTTTGGCCGCTGTTGCTTTGCAAACCACGCAAGAGTCTGTTTCTCCCAGAAGAGACGGGACATGGCAGGTAGAAAAAAGCAACCAGGCCTCCTCTCCCCGAGAGGAAAGGGGGAGCATTTCCTCGGCAGGTGAGCCAACTCCAGACCTTAAGGATCAATGCTCTGGGGACATTAGACTCCCCTCCCACAAGCTGGCAGGCTCACCTGAGGTTCCCTTTGTTGGTGGCATACTTGATGTGGTTGCAGATGTAGTTGAACATCCCGTGAGCCGTGGTGCAGTCGCGGGCATCGAACACCTGCCAGGGGTACCTGGTGAGAACGGAGCCTTCTCCTTCCCTCCTCGGCTCCCCCAGTGCGGCCTGCCCAGGCGGGGAGAACCCGGAGCCCACTCCACCTGCTGCCCCACTTGGGGAGAGAGCCCTCCACTAATGAGACCTAGGCTGGGTTTTATAGTGGTTTTTTTTTTTTCTATCCTCATAACCACAGTTATCAAACCAGGAAAAATCCCCTGAAAGCAGGCACGGTGTGTAGGTGCATGTGGTTACAGGATGATGAGTAAAGGAGAGACTTTAGTGGGCTGGATGGATTTCCTGCTAGGTTACTAGGGATCAGGGATTTAAAAACAAAACAAATAACAATCAAACAAAACCCCCCTGAACTTGATAACTAATTTATTTCCAACTTCAAACTACTCCCCAGGGGACAGAGAATCGAATGCTTTCAGGGAGTAGGCAGATAGTATAAATAAGCAAAGAGAGTAGGTGGAAGACAAAAGGGAATGGTGGGGTCTGTGGTAAACTGGAGAGCATAAACCTTACCAAGAGACATGCAAGTTCCTTTTTAAACAGCACAATGAGACATGACTGTAAGGCAGATTCAGTCATGATCTGAGAATCTGGGACCCCATGACCACTATCTGATATCTCACCATGACTTCCGGATGCCCTTGGAAAGAGCTGACCCTTTGTAAGGCTCATCCCTCCCCACCCACCAAAGAGCCTTACCGCCTACCTGCAGCTTGGACCACTGGATCCTGCCAACGCAGCGGGATGCATTCCGCCAGGCGTGCTTCGCCCCATAGATGAGCTCCGTGTCTTTGAGCTGGTAGGTGCCGTTGGTTTCGATCTCTTTGTTCACCTCTTCCAGCCTCTCTGTGTGGGCTTTGGAGCCAAATCTGAGTGAGGAAGGACAGGACATGGGATTGTCACCTTCTCTCCTGAATTAGAGGTCGGTGGAAGGAGCGAGCCATTCAGGAGGGCAGAAGCCACAGCAAGTCTGAGTTGGTATGTGGCCACAATAGTTCAAGCATAAGCAGATGGCAAACTCAAATGCCCACAAAGGTCCGGTAGTGATGAACTGGCTAGGTGGGGACTGTGGCCAGCCAGTGAGCTTGTGCCCGGTTCAAAGGTGGGCAGCTAACACTCTGCTCCTGCCAGTTGTCATCCTGTAGGAATGGGGGCCCAGGGCAGCCAGGTCTCCTTTCAAGAGAAACTGGAAATCTGATGTTTATTTTAATGTTATTTATCTATTTATTTATTTTTAAAGATTTTATTTTTAAGTAATCTCTACAGCTAATGTGGGGCTCGAACTCACAACCCTGAGATCAAGAGTCATGTGCTTCACCAGCTGAGCCAGCCAGGTGGTCCTGGAAATCAGATTTTTCTTTTTTAAAGATTTTACTTATTTATTTGAGAGAGAGCGAGCGAGCACAAGCAGGGGGAGCAGCAGAGGGAGAGGGAGAAGCAGGCTTCCAGCTGAGCAGGGAGCCCAGCTGTTGGAATGGCGCCGCTGTGGGCATTGATCTTTAGGAGAAGATCTCAAGAACCACCCCCCCCACCCCGACCCACTGATAACTGAAAAAAGGGGAGGTGCACTGCCCGGCTTTTGGTGACTCCCCCCTCCCCCATTATTAAAGGCCCCCTGGAAATCTGATTTTTAAAGACAACTCTTCCTGGGGTTTTCTGCAGCTGTATAATATTCCATGACTTGGAAAATACCACTGCTTACTTACACATTCTCCTGTTGAGGGAGCTGAGGTGGTTTCGGTTGGCTCTTTGATTTTAATTTTTTTTCCTATTATAACAATGTCTCAGTGAGCATTTTTATGTACGTCTTCTGGTGAACAATTGTGACAGTTTCTTTAGGGTAGTATGCCTAGACACGGAATTGCTTGCGATGTTTCCAATTTAAGCAACACCTTGTAGGCCAAACAGAGACATTTCTGGGGGCCAGATTTGGCCCTTGGGCTACCAGTTCTCAACCTGTGTGTTTGGAGGGCAGAGCCCTCACGCTTAGGTCTCGGTTCAACCGTCATAGAGTTGGAGCTGATGTCTTTGTCCCGGTACTCGGTAATTCACCCTGGGTCCCCAGAGTCAACACACACTTGCCTTTTAATTGATGAGTAGTACTGATCAATGAACTCTTTGGCGAGAGGGAAGAGCTGTTCTTTTGTGCGGACATCTTCAGGCCTTCGTATTTGCTGAGAAGGGAGCATAATGGAGCTCATACAGACGTGCTCAGTGCATCCCGTTTCCTAGAGGGAAAAGAGAGAGTTGGATGATCACTTGGTTTTAGCACAGGTGGGGCTGTGGACCTGGATCTGACACTCGTCGTGGAGTTTACCTGGCCTTTAATTCCCAAATAGGATTTCTCAAGTACCAGCTTCAAATCATTGGATGGTTTGACCATCACAGGATGGTGGTCATCAGTCAAGGTGAGGATCGGCAGGCAGCATTTTCAGGTTCTGAAAGTGTTTGCTCTACTCAACTAGGGGAAGAGGGCCTTTCTGACTGGCATTCCCTGGGAATCAGACTCATTGGTACTGAATCCCCAAGTATTTTTTTTGATCCCATGTTGATCTAGAAGGAACTTGTAGGTGGTTGTAGTAGCTCATTCGAACACATCTCTGGGACATTGACTGCAAAAACATAGCCCCAATTCTTCTCTGCCCTATATTCACACCCTTTGCGATGTGACAGCTGGCCCCTCAGATGACTGCAGATGCTTGAGATCAACTGAGACCAGTAGAACCACTGAGCCAATCTGTGGACTTTTGAAAAATAATAAGTGGTTGTTTTTTTTAAGCCACTGAGTTTCAGGGATGTTTGTTACACAGCAATAGTTAACCGATACAATGTGCTTCCAAGAGGCTCATTTTCAACAAAAATGTAAAGCAACATGTTGATTGGCTGGCTGTTAAAAATATGACATAAAAGGGGTGCCTGGGTGGCTCAGTCAGTTAAGCGGCTGCCTTCGGCTCAGGTCATGATCCCGGGGTCCTGGGAATCAGACTCATTGGTACTGAATCCCCAAATATTTTTTTTGATCCCATGTTGATCTAGAAGGAACTTGTAGGTGGTTGTAGTAGCTCATTCGAACACATCTCTGGGACATTGACTGCAAAAACATAGCCCCAATTCTTCTCTGCCCTATATTCACACCCTTTGCGATGTGACAGCTGGCCCCTCAGATGACTGCAGATGCTTGAGATCAACTGAGACCAGTAGAACCACTGAGCCAATCTGTGGACTTTTGAAAAATAATAAGTGGTTGTTTTTTTTAAGCCACTGAGTTTCAGGGATGTTTGTTACACAGCAATAGTTAACCGATACAATGTGCTTCCAAGAGGCTCATTTTCAACAAAAATGTAAAGCAACATGTTGATTGGCTGGCTGTTAAAAATATGACATAAAAGGGGTGCCTGGGTGGCTCAGTCAGTTAAGCGGCTGCCTTCAGCTCAGGTCATGATCCCGGGGTCCTGGGATCGAGCCCCGCGTCAGGCTCCCTGCTCAGTGGAGAGTCTGCTTCTCCCTCTCTCTCTGCCTACTTGTGCTCTCTATCTCTCTGTCAAATAAATAAATAAAATCTTTAAAAAAAAATGACATAAAAGTTTAGCTGAAATACAGTGAAAGCAAGGAAGGGCTTGGTCAATACTTCATCAGTGCACAGGTTGTGAGAGAGAAAATGTGTTCAGAACCAGCAACTCCTCCGCTTTTGGGTTCTTTTGGGTTCCAGGTACACAAATAAAAAGTATCTCCTCGAGTGAATAAGTAGCCACCAGCAGTTCTCAAGTGGGAGTGGATTTCCCACTTTTGGGTTCTTTTAGGTTCAAGGTACACAAATAAAAAGTATTTCCATGAGTGAATAAATAGCCACCAGCAGTTCTCAAATGGGAGTGGATTTCCCACCCAGGGGACACTGAGTGATATCTGGAGACATTTTTGGTTGTCACAATTTCGGGGGGGGTGACAGATATCTCGTGGGCATAGGCCAGGAGTGATGCTAAACAACACACAGTGCACAGGGCAGTCCCCACAACAAAGACTTAGCCAACACCAAACATGGTTAGTGTGAGGTTGGTCTACATCCTGCTGGGATACTCACCAGGGTGCTCTTAAGGTGAAGGGTGTCAGTGAGGACAACGTCGGTCTCCCAGTTCTTGACCTTGAGGAAGCGGGGGCACTTGGAGGGGCTGCCATTCTTTGTGGGAGACTGTTTTCCCGAGGCAGGGGGCTGGAGGAGAGAAGGAAGGATGGGACATTAGACAGGGTCCTGAGGACACTGGAAAACTGTCTCCACTGGGATGGGGAGAAAAGTTGCTTTTCCTAGAATCTGCCAGAGTCACCAAGTATCTGCACAGAGTGAAGGACTCCTTCTCCCAGGGTAACACATGCTAACCAGGGAACCTGGTGCCTCTGTCTATGCTGAAGGAGACACCGTGGAAAAGCCTTTTGGGTTCTGTTCTACAGGGAGGGCCCTCTCAAAGGTGGCCTCTCTGGTGTCTAGCACAGGTCCTAGCATATAGCAGGGACTCACTGAATGTTTGTTGAATGAGTAAATAACCAAGGGACGCTGTCAGCTTCTCTGAATGGTACCAGCTTTCAGGCCTGTGGATGTCTGAGCTTTCCTGTTACTGTCCAAATTCACTACTTCTGGTGAGTACTGGGAAAACAGGAAAGATCCAATTAGAAAGTCCTGAAGCATAGACTGTTTCTCCCAAATGCCAGGTTTCTGCCTCTCAAAAATGCCAAGTGTATCCCTGCGTCAGGGCCTTTGCACTGACTGGTCCCTCTGCGTTGAACACCTTCAGTCCCCCATTTGTCTTCACTTCCATACACTAAATGCCCAGTTGGTGGTGGGGGATAAGTCCTGGGCTCACCAACATCGGCCCATCCATTTTAGACCTCATTAATAAGGATTACATTCTGTCTTGGGTGTTTCTGAATAATTGTCTACCTGCCTATGCATCAGACAAGCATGGGTGTCAGTCAGCAACTGGAAGGGAGAGGCAGCGGGCACACTCTGCCGCGTCAGCTGAGTGAGAGAGGGAAGAGAAGCAAGTGTGGAGTGACACTCATGCCAAAGAACGGAGCACTGGATAGTGACCTTGCGGCAGGGCATTCACATGCTCAACTGGTATTTATTGAGCACCTACTGTGTGCTAGACACTGTTAGACACTGGGGACACTGTAGTAAACAAGACAGAGAGTGCCCTGGCCCTGCTGGGACACTGCTGGGAGAGAAGTGGAGATAAATCATAAGTAAACCCATACATGAACCACTAGAATATCAGTTGGTGATAAGGATATATGATGATGAGGGGGGAAAGGCAAGTGCAAAGGCCCTGAGGTAGGGATAAGCTTGTTAAGTTCAAAGGACCAGCAAGGAGGCCAGTGTGGTTGGAGTGGAAAAATGTGGTTAGTGTAAGGAGATGAAGTCAGACAGGAGGAAGAGTCCTCATCTCATTGGCTTGGAGGAACTCAGGCGGGTGAGGAAGCTGTGAATTACAATGAAATGGGCTGAGTCCAGGAGAGAAATCGTAGAGTATGCTGAAGGGCTAATATTGAAAACCGGCATTCAAGAAGCACTTACTATATGCGAAGCAAAATCTTATCATGCCCATTTTACAGATGAGGAAACTGAGGCACAGAGAGGTTAACTAAGTTGTCCAAGGTCACAGAGTTAGTACACTGGAGCCAGGAGTCAAATCCTGGCAGTCTGCCCTTCAAACCATGTCCTTAACTACTGGACTCTCCTGCCTCTTGGCCCTTATGCATAATTCATACATTCATTCATTCATTCAACATGTGTTTATTGAGTATCTCCTATGTTCCAAGCAAGGTTGCAAGGGCCAGGGCTACAGTGACAAACTAGGTAGATGTGATTTCTGCCCTCATGGAGTTCACAGGGCATTGTGGGAGCGGGGGGAGGGATGACAGGTGTATGATCATTATAATCAAGTGCAATGGGTGCTATAACATGGGATGCTGGAGGTGTATAAGGAATTGTGGAAGCACATAGAAGAGACACCTAACCCAGAGCATTTGACTTCTAATCGAGACCTGAAGGACAAGTAGGTGTTAATCAGGCAAAGAGAGAAGAGCAAGGTCTTGCAGGCAGAAAGACCAGGTTATGCAAAGGTCCTGAGGTGAGAGGCATATCATAGCCTCCAGAACCATGCAAGTGACAGCAGAGAACAAATGGAAGGTGCCATGACTCATGATCTTCCACACCTCCCTGCTGTGGCCAGATCCAGTCATCCCCAGTGGTTCCCATCTCAGTGCTGGGCATCACCATCCATCTGCCTGGGCAAGCCACGGGGAGGGGGTGGTGGGGAGCTATCCTGGACATCGTTCTCTTTATCCCCCTGCACCTGATCTGTCCCCAAGTCCTACCATTTTAGCTTCTAAAGAGCTCTAGAATCCACCCCCTCCTCATTCTCCCCATTTAACTGACCAGCACGTCGGCCAGACCAGCATCATCTTTCACTTGGATGAATGCAATCACCTCCCAAATCTTAGCCATCACTTACTGCTACTGGTGCTTTAGTCCACCCCAGTAGGTTTCAGTACTGTAATCTATGGAGTCATCTATGGTACACCTGCTAGTCCTATCAGGACCGCCATTGCATAAGTATTACTACAGTCCATCCACACCAGGAGCAGAAGGATGTAGAAGAATTCTTCCCTTCTTTCCCATTTGTACTTTCTGCCTGCTAAGCTCCAAGTTATTTTCCTTCTGTCCCCTTATGAAGCCACATCCCAGACAGCTCCATTTCCTTTGAAGGCCTGGCCAGGCAGCCCCAACGCTTCTTTAAGATTTGTTTTCACCACAGTCTTTTCCAGCAGACATGCAGGTGATGGATGTCACATCTTTGGGCAAGACTTGGTAGCGACAAATTCCTCCGACCATGCCAACAGCCTGCAGCCATGAGAACCAAAAAATCTGACCTTGCCCAGGCGGGAGGCACCCCAGCGATCAGTCCCTAAAGACTGAGCATCACTCAGCCTGTTTGCAAACTCTCTTGATCATCCACATGGACGCCCTAGAGGCTGGGGAGCGGCTGGAATCCCAGACGGGGGGTAACAGACACAGTGGGGAGCACTGTGAGGCAGGAGGAGGAGGTGTGGGGTGTGGCTGGTGGGTGGGCAACCAGCAGCCTTCGTTGGCAGGGTGTGGTGGGAGTGAGGTAACAAGCATAATGAAAGAGGCCATCTTTTGAGGTTCCAGATGTGTGATGGGTGGTCATTACGAGCCAAGAAATTGGGGGCCCGGGCGTGAGCCGTGCCTCTCCACCCTGGGCTGCGTTGAACTGCACACTTGAAACCAGGCATTAGGAGGCCCCTGTCAGGGCTGTTGTACTTGGGGCTTTGATGTTTTAATTAGCCAGCAGTAATATTAGATGACTCAGGAGGGGACAAATGGGGAGATTAATATAGCAGTCAGGGGCCCTGCATGGGGGATGCAAATGACTTTTCTGAGTGGGGAGGAAATGTTCTCGCTAAAAATGCAGATTAGGGGCACTTGTGACTTATTAAGCTGGGGACAGGGCACAAGTGGGCTTTGGGCAGCATTTACACGCATCCTTTTCTGGATTTGTGTCTGGGGTGGTCAGTGGAAGCTTTTCAGGTGGCGGGAGACACTGGCTAGATCTCGGTGGGCTCTGTGGAGCGCTGCCTGGGATTGCTCCTAAATGGGGACAGGAGGCTCTGAACTTGTGGGCATTTCAAAGGCTCTGTCAACACCTCTTTGCTTCTGGAGCTGGCAGGGGTCCTGAAGAAATGGAAGGCAATGGTCTTGCAGCCAGAGAGGAGATAGTGAGGCAAGGCCCTATCAGCCCAGAGCCCTGAGCCCGGAATTCAGCTTTGTAGGTACCCTGACACCCTGTTTCCTTCTGCCCTCTCCACCCCTCCCTCCTCTCTCTCCTTCAACAAATACCTACTGAGCACCTACTGTGTGCCAGGGACTTGTGTTCTTGGCCCTACAGTGGTTCCCACTCTCATTCCACAACTGCGGGAAGCCTCGTACACCTGCATGCAGGGATCTGCAAACTGCAGCCCGTGGGCCAAACCTGGTCCGCTGCCTGTTTTTATACAGCCCACAAGTTAATGATTTTTCCATTCTTAGCCCGTTGAATAAAAATATCAAAAGAAGAGTAATGTTTCATGACACATACAAGTTATAGGAAGTTCAAATTTCAGTGTCCATAAATAAAGTTTTATTGGCACACGGCCACACTCATTTGTTCTTTTTTTTTTTTTTAAAGATTTTATTTATTT